CCAAGAGGGTCCATGTATACTACTATTATGGAATTAGGCCCGACAAAACCATAATAAGGATGGTCTTTTGGGACCTAATTCCATAACGGTAGCGTGCACGGACCTTCTCGTCTCGGTAATTAGAACTCTATGAGTACATGAACTGTTTAAATACACTCGGTAGTTATTTATACAACTGCGGTGACTAGAGGCTAGGCGCGGTGGTCATAATATTATTGCTCCCCGAAGCGATTAACCGTACTTACTCTAAACCCTGAAGAAACCCCGAAAACCCAAAACCCTAAACCCCAAACATCTAAACCCTAAACCCTAAACCCTGAAGAAACCCCGAAAACCCAAATCCCTTTCCGGGATGCCTTCCACCTCTCGATCGAGTCGATCCACCTGCTGCAGACGACGGGGATTCCGGAGGTTAGAGGGCTTAGGATTCGGGTTCAGGAGTTTAGGGGTTTAGGGTTTAGGGGATTCCGGAGGTTAGAGGGCTTAGGATTCGGGTTTAGGAGTTTAGTGGTTTAGCTTGTGTTTATGGAGGTTTATGAAGATGCATGAGGATTCTAGCACCAACAGCAACAACAACACCAATGCAAACACCACAAGCCACCGTCCTGGACCGTCCCATTACGGTATAGGGAGCCAAGCAGCTGCTTCTCCCTTTTATTTTGGCCCAGCAAATGCAGGATGGGATGCAGCGACAAAATGGAGTCCACTGCCATGTTATCGGTGTCGTAGGTTTCGAGGATGGTAATTCTGCTATTCGATGGGAATAGGATCTCCATCTCTTGTCCAACCTTGTGCACGAGCGAAATGTGCCATGATTGGAGCTGCACATGTGGAGCCGACGGGAGGCAGTCTAGTGCGTGAGTGGGTTGCTGTGCAGCAGGAGTGGGGTGGGCCGGAAAGGGGAGAGTTCGTGTAGATGTGCGCCGTCCTTCGCGTCGGCGCGGAGTGGATCTCACCGACATTAGGGGTGCGTATGAAGGCTTTCTAGGGGGTGTAAGATTGTTTCGATTTGGGGTACAGGGCGCTAAACCCTAAACCCTCAAGCTCCGTGTTTTGGGATTCAAGCCGGTTAGGCTTCAGGGTTTAGGGTCTATAGGGTTTAGGGTTCAGGATTTTTTATGGTTCAGGGTTCAGGGTTCTCATGGATTCGCATTCAGGGTACAGGTTATTTAGGGCTCAGGGTTTAGGGAGTTTAGGGTACAGGGTACAGGGTATTTAGGGTTCAGGGTTTGAGGCTCAAGGTGAACATCTTGAAGTAATGATAAGGGCCTCGCTAACCTTGACTAGCATACTTATGCAGGAACTGTTTGGAAATGCTGTGGCTGACCAGAACACCCTACATATCGAGGGCGTCCCAAGACCTGTGAACATCGTACGTGCAAGCACCGGTGTTGCTAAGGAACTGAGGCTAAGGGCGTACAGGTTTGAAGATGTTGCCTCTACTTCTCTCAAAGAAAAAAGCCAAACATACCCCTAAAGAAGAAGCTAGGTCATACTAAAAACAATCAAGACCCGTAGAGAAGAATTTTACATCAGGCCATGCGACGTCTTAGCCTACTTCTGACCTACTTACGAGGTCCCCGGATCCTTGAGGATGGTATCTGAACTTTCATTAGAGTTTGAGGTTTAGGATCCCGACAAACTGTAAACCCAAGACCCTAAACCCAAAAACAACACAAATCCAACAAACAAAACGTAAACAACTCATCGAACGCCCCGTTTTAACAACCTTGGCTTCCTATAATCGTGTGGAAAATGGGGCCTAGCGTTAAGGTTTAGGGAGTTTAGGGTTCCGAAAACCCCGGCGATCATACTGGCCCCGAATTAATAGGAATGCCAAGCGGCTCTAGCGCCGTGCCAACTTGTCCATCCAGGTCTTGCCGTCTTTGGCTGGAGACCTAAAAGCCGAGTTCTTAGGGCTTCGTATAGGTTTTAGGGTTTACATAGGGTTCAGGCCCTACCGATGCTGGAAACCTCTGAGTGCTTAGGGTTAGGTTGTGTATCTGGGTAGTTCTCCAAGTTAGGCTCCCTGTTTAAGAAACCAAAAGGAAGGCGGCACCCCTACTAAAAAAGGGACTCCACTTTAGAGGACTACCCATATACGGCCTTAACGACTCGATTGGGGATTGACTTCGGGGTGCTGCAAAAGCTTCTGTAGGGACCTGCACAAGCCGAATGGGGTTTGCCCTAGGATGTTCAGCCCTGAAGGTAAAGGAGCAGAAAAAGGAACCCTTTCAACCCTAAACCGTAATGAAAGGCTCACACGCAACCCAAAGGAACAGTGCGGGTCCCTTTAAAGTAAGGTTTCCCTTTGAGGGTCCCTTTAAGGATCCCACCCTTTGATGACCCCCTAACCCCCAAACCCTTGAGCCCTTAAACCCCTAAACCCCTCAAAAAAAACACCGAACTGTCAAAGGTCTTTGAAGTAGGTCTCCTTTTAAGGGTCCCTTTAAGGATCCCGCCTAAACCCTAAACCCCAAACCTTGGCGCTACCCTAAACACTAAGCCCTAAACCCTGGCCCTACCTTAGACCCTAAACCCTGGACCCTAAACCCTCAACCCTTTTAGGGACCCCCCTTTTTGAGGAGCTGAAAAGTCTCCGAGGCTGCGGCCATCACTCGAGAACCAGGTCCCAGCTTCACCGGGGCACTCGGCCTCTAAGGGGTTCCATTAAAGGGATTTCAGGGTTTAGGGTTTAGGGTGTAGGATGGGTTTAGGGTGTAGGGTAGGGCCAGGGTTTAGGGTTTAGGGTGTAGGGTAGAGCCAGGGTCTAGGGCTTAGGGTTCCTTTCTTACGGGTCCTAGGCTTTGAAGGGGTTCCTTCAAAGGATCCTAGGGCCCTTCAGGATTCCTGCGGGGTTCCTTTAAAGGGATCCTAGAGCCAGGGTTTAGGGTTTAGGATTCCTTTCAGTGGTGCAAATAAAAAAACAGCCGGCATACCGTAGAGCTGTGCAACGCTCGCTTTTTTCTTCGGCAGGTGAGTGTGAATCTCCATCAAAGCTATCTCAAAATCCGCCCCGCCGCCAATCTCACTCCTTTTCTTCTTCTTCCCGCTCTCCCTTGTTTGGCGCCAGCACCAGCGAGAAGGCTTGGTCGAATACATCAAAATTTGGCTCAATCGTTTCCGTCTCTTCCATCAATTGGACCAAAATCTCGCGCGATTTCGCAGGATGATGTGGGCAGCAATGGCAAATCTCGCCGCCATTTCGAAGACCCACAAAGACGCGTCGATCATTGTGACTTTGGCTCGAGGCTGGAAATGGCTGGCATATGCTGTAATTTCAAAATGTTGGTAAGTTGCAACAAGTCCCTCCCTTGTTTCTCTTCTTTTTTTCTGGACGCGCATGAAGTCGCGACTCACGTGCTTGTGGAAGAACTCGTGTACCTGCTGCAAACAACGGCAACTCCCCGTGACGGACTCTCATGTTGCAGAAACACACCTGCATCAAAAACAACAACTGCTAAGTGGAATTGTAGCAAAAAAAGAATCGCGACAGCCTGCATCTCCAAAACATTCACCTGGCAAAGAGAGTGGTTTGGTTACATACGCGCAAACTCGAAATGTATTTTATGTGAAAAAAACTCACAACAAAAAGCCTTATGGTCCGCTCACGGCGCGTCAGATGGACAGCGCAGCTTCCATTTCGGACCACTCCGGAGGCACGCGCATCAAATCTTGGTAGCGAAAAATGCAGGCAAACCAAGACAAAAACACATAATGCTCAGCGAGGCGCAGCCAATCAAATTCAAGCTGTAAAGGAATTGGTCGAGTTCTTCGATGACATCATTGTCTTCGTCTTCCGTGGAAGCGTTGCCCAGCATGATGGCCTTACACAGGAACAACGTGCAACAATTTTATTCGCAAGGGCATGACAAAGTTATTCGCAGACAAGACACCGCCTCCAGACTAGCGCCAACGACGGCCTTCTTGGACACCCTCTGCAAAATGCTAGGAGCCAGCCACCGAACCGTCAATAGACAGTTTTGCTGCCCTGCCCCAGGGAAATTCGAGGCGTGGTAAGCATTGTGCAGATCTTCTTGCCTCGCAAACTTGGTCAAATTATTCTACGCTACTTTGCATGATGAAAAGATGAATCCGAGGCCCTGACTGCGCTTTGGGCATGTCCAAAACCGCATGAAGCCACCGGGCAAGGAGGTGTTGATTGCACAGGAGGCGGCGCCGTGCAGCCTTCAATGTTTTCCAAAGAAACTGTAAGGCCGCCTGCTTCTGCACGGCGTCTAGAGAACGACTCCATGCGACGAGAGACTTCATGGAGCTTTTCACTGGCGGCAACATGTTAACACAAAAAAGTCTTGAACCAGCTGCTGCGGCAAACACACGTGCGCTGACCCTTTGGCTCGATGCTTGAAATGGCTACAAACAACGCGTTACAGACTTTAGGTGGAATTGGAGCAAAAAAAAGAATCGCGACAGCCTGCATCTCCAAAAACATTCACCTGACAAAGAGAGTGGTTTGGTTACAAACCATGTTTTTCGAAGCACGCGTGGTGCACATAGAAACCTGCTTGCAATACTGCGGACGTGTAATTTGGCTTCAAACCGCACCAGGATTCTCCTCTGTTGACAGTTTTCGGGGCCTGACGCTTTATTTTCACATCCTGCTTCGGTTCCATCCAGGCCCCAATCCGCGGTTGAATACTATATTGATGTGGCTCACTCCTTCTTGGACCAGCAGCGGTAGCACCCGATTCTCCTGTCAAAAAGACTTTGAAAAACATCTTCATGCAAACAAAGGACGCGATTGGGGGCGCCTTGCGAACGCGGAGACGTCCCACTTCTCTGCAAAGATTTCACCGCGGTAAGCGGCCCAAGTTTTACGAGCGCATAACACCTGCACGCAACACGGCGTTTTAAAAAATAAAGTATATTTTCTCTCTGGCCTTCACTTTCTCGATGGTCACGTTGATGTGCGCCCAAATCCACACCGGGGGGCAGCACTCCGAGAAGACCAGCAGCCAAAAACCTTCAAACCAACGTACAATATGACAACGCGCCCTCGTTCTTGTGAGAGGACTGGCCACATGACCTGACAGGGTGTCTGAAAATGCTTATCGACGTCGGAAATTCGGCAGAATGAAATGACGTGACTCTTTACGAGTCTCGAGGGCGAATTGACAGTTCTTCCGAGGGGCATCGAGAATCGGCATCGTCGTCGGGTAGTGCGGCGCGATTGGCAAACGGCTGCAAAAAAAGAGGATTCGCAAGTACTCCTCGACCATCTCACTTGCTTCAACCTGAAAGGAGACTTGCTGTAGCTAGCTCAGCCGGAACACGGAGAGAAATCCCGGCCTTGCAAAATGCTGCACGCCAGCCCGGGCAAATGATATCCAGGCACACGCTTGGTTCTTCGGTCCTTGTTGTGTGGAATCGCTGGGATTCGATGCATCGTGCAGCAACAGCTGAGGCTCCTGCTTTTGTCGCACTCGTCTGCGTGTGTACCTGTTCGGCTTGGATGCAACACCTGCATTAGGCATCTAAGGCCCGGGCGGACCCTGTGCTGGACGTGAATCGCGCCATGATGGTTTCATCGTGTGCTCGGCACTGAGAATGTTTTAAATGTCTGCATTTGTCCTTCTACGAAGCGCTCTGCCATTGCGATTCATAGCCCATAAGCTGCTGCACTCGTGCCACACCTTATGCACACTCTTTATCTATTCTGTCAGCGAATGCGCACCTGAGCCCCAACTGCATCCGAACACAAAAAGTGTGGACAACTACGACCATCGACTGGATTTCAAATCAAGGCTCGCCCATGTCAATGCCATCCGCAGTCTTCCAAAAAGTTTTCCATATAGGACAATGTCTTTGCAAGAGGACTTGGGGACGTCCTTGGGACGTTGGCTTTATACAGATGACGTTGGCCACAACAGAAACTTCGGTCCATGAAGGAGTGTACAAGAATAACTCAGCAGCAGGCTTCTTTTGGTGCACGCGGAGTAACTGTTTCTCGGACTCTCAGTTGAGCCCGTTCAGGGGGACCCTCGGCGCGAAGTTTTGCCAGAGAGCGGCCGCGGTTCTGATTGCGACGCATGCAAGAGGATTGCTGGGGTCGGTGCGCAGAGCAACCGCTGCAGCGGCAGAGCGTGTCTTTTCCCATGAGTCGAAGACCTGGCAACAAAGAGTGTGAGTCGTGGCAGCAAGGCAGCGTAAAGGCTGAGCTTCCTGCAGCCTGGCACTTCCTGCAGCCTGGCAGTGCTTCCAGGGATGTGCTAGAAAGGGCATCGTCATCCGCTTCGGGATTCTGGTACTATTCATACGAGCCGCTTTAATGAATAACCGCCGACCTTCGCGACGTCCGGATCCAAGTCTTCAACCGATGGAGCATTCTGGCACGATATGTTTCAATTCGGAAGCCGTGCAATGAAGTGTTGGATTCCGACCTCGACTTTGTTTTCGATCTCCGATCCTGTATCCTCTTCGAAGTCGCTCCAGGTTGCCTTTCGTATTATGATTCTCAAACTCTATCGTCTCACACGGTCTGAAGGTTTTCCTCGGTGTCGCTGTCCAACTCGACGCAACTGTGACAGCGCTGTTCTGCACAGATACGACGTTGGCAAAATATATTGCGTCAGGTAGTTGCTCACGGAGTATAAACTGAGGTTCGAACACAAGAACACTGGATGTTCGGAGGCATCGTCCGGGTCTTCGCCGAGGAGACACTCGTCTTTCAAGCGGAGGCCCCTTTAAGTGCTGTCTGCAGGGTTCTTTCAAGACAAGGTCTGGCTCCTTCAGGCGATCCACTCAAAGCTCCTTTGAAGGATCCTACACAGGTTCCCTTAGGGGGGGACGAAGGGTTTCAGGGGTGTAGCGGTTTAGGGCTTGAAGTGTTCAGGGTGTAGAGCTTTAGGGGTTGAGGGTTTGAATCAGAACCAAACGTAAACGAAAAGCGAGTCTTTGAAGGGCTTTATAGATGCTTGTCGGGGTGCTTCTGGCTTTGTTAAGGCTTGGTTAAGGCTTCATGGGTCTTCACTAGGGAGCTTCATAGAGCCTTTCAGAAGGCCAGAAAAGAGGGGTTCTGGATGTAATGGTGACCTCTGAATGGATCAAATGTTTAGAACACCACAAGAGAAATGTCCTACTACGATCATGTGGTTTAGGAATTCGCATTTGGGTTAAGGGATTGGGATTTAGGGTATGTGGCGTAAGAGAAGCCTTCTGAGGACTTCGAACCCATCCCTAAACGCTAAAGCGTTACAAGATTTCGAGGTTTTGCAGGATGTTCTTCGGTCTTGGGGTTGTATGGGTGTGAGCCAAAGAACCCATACCTAGGCCTGAAAATCCTTAAGGCGCAAACCCCAATTCCCCCAGACGCTAAACGCTAAAATCCTTACACCCCAAACCTATAGCACGCTCATAGTACCCTTGTAGAACCTCTGTATAAACATACAAACCCATGAGCCCCTAAACCCTAATTAGATGTTATCGATCGCGTCAGATATAGGGCTTGGGTTTAGGTTTAGGTTTAGGGTTTAGGGGTTAGGGAACAGGAACGTGACTGATTCATAGACCCTGTGTCGTTACCGGGGTTCTCTACATGATTCAAAACTTTTGGGGCTCTAGGAATCGGACCATAATTTCTTAACCAGGTTGTATACATTACAAACCCTAAAGAACCCTTGTAGATCCTTTTCCGTCAAAGAACCATAAACCCTAAACCCTAACCCTAAACCCTAAACCCTAACAGCTCCTCTTCCCTTGTAGAACCCTTGTAGAATCCGAATTAAATCCTTTTCCCTCACACCGGTAGAGCCCCTGTAGGAGCGATGGGACTGAATCCCTGAACCCTAAACCGCCTTAGACGGTTCATGATATAAATCCTGAAATACCTATAACAAAGAATATACCACAATTTCCATAGTTCAGGGTCCTTAATAAGGTAATGCAGGATTTATTTCCCTAGACCCTAAACCCTTAAAGGAACCCTAGGAGCCCATAGTTTAGGGTCCTCAAGGTAACGCAGGAGTTGTGTCATCAACAGTAGGAGCCCCCTTAGACTGAACCCTACTGTAGCGGCTGCTCAGCCCCGGAAAAGCGGCCAACCCTGCACCGCACCTGACGGGAGCCGTGGACACCTTTGGCCTTGGGATCGGGAGTTAACACAAGCTTTAGAGTCATGGGGCATTCCAGGACCCCCCAATGGCCCTTTAATAGCGTCCTTATGGTCCCTAATAGTAGGCATTTGGGGTGTAATAGACGGTAGTTGGGGGGGCTAGGTTGGGTTTATAGGGCTTTAGGGTTTAAGGGTTTAGGGTTTCAACCCCAAAAGATTGGAAACCGATCTCGACAATTGGTGCTCGGATTGCCTCTACATCACTCTTAAGGATTGAGGCTATGGGGTTTCTAAATGTTTCGGCTTCTACTGTACGGGATCCCATAAGTGATAAGGGTATACCCTATGGATTCCGGGGTTCAGGGTCGAAGTGCTTAGTACTGACCGGATCACTGACACAGTGACCACATACACCCGTTTGCAAGATCCCGGATTTAAGGTTTAGGGTTTATAAACCCCCTAAGCCCCTCAACCCAAAACCCTAAAACCCCTAAACCCCAAACCCCTAAACGCCCCCACACCCCAAAACCCTACACCCAAAACCCTACACCCCTAGAGCCCTAAACCCCCTAAAACCCCTAAACCCCTCAACCCTAAAACCCCTAAACCCGAAACCCCTACACCCCTACACCCAAAACCCGAGATCACTTTGTAGTCTTGTGCCTTCAGAATTTCGTCCTGCACCCCGACAGCTAAAGGACAGTAGCAGGGACCCCTACAGGGGGCGCCTAATCCAAATACCCTATATAACCCTTATGTACCCCTTAGATAGTCTCATCAAGACCCTAAACCCTAAAACCCCTGAACCCTAAAAGCCCTAAACCCTACCACCCCTAAACCCTAAACCCTAAAACCCCTAAAGCCCCTAAACCCCTGTTTAGGGGCGTTTAGAGTTGTAGGGTGCAGGGGTTTTGGGGTTTGGGGGTTTTAGTGGTTTAGGGGCTTTAGGGAATTATAGGGTTTGTAGGGTTTCTGGTTTTAGGGGTTTATAGGATTTATGCAAAGAGTCCGGGGCTTTAGGGGTTTATAGGGTTTCTAAAGTTTGGGGGTTTGAGGTTTAGGGGTTAGGCTTCAGGGAATTATAGGGTTTAAAGTGTTTCTGGAATTTAGGGTTTATAGGATTTTTAGGGTTTCGCTTATGGGTTTCGGATTTAGGATTTTTCGGGCCTTTAGGGGTCTAGGGTTTGGGGCCTGGGGTTTAGGCGTTTATGGGTGTAGGGGTCTAGGGTTCAGGTTTATAGGGCCTATAGAGTTTATAGGGTTTGGGTTTAGGTGTCTAGGGTTTGGAATCTGGGGTTTAGGCATTTATGGGTTTAGGGTTTAGGGGTCTGGGGTTCATAGGGTTTCTAGGGTTTGAGCTTCGGGGTTGTAGGGTGTGCATGGGTTCTGGGGTTTAGGCGTTTATGAGTTCAGGGTTTAGGGATCTAGGGTCTGGGGTCTGAGGTTTAGGCGCTTATCTACACAGTATAGACGCTAGGGTTTCTACAATACCCCTAAGCCATAAGCCCTAAACCCTATAGGGGTTACAATAATAGTTTGGGTGAGTGGGCTATGAAGCCGGTGAACACTTGGAGGAACATGGGACTTAGTAACTAAACTCGCGGTTTAGAGTTCAGGGTTTAGTAACTAGACTTATGAGTACGATAACTAAAGTTAGAATTACTTACACTCCCAATTAGGGATCTTATAACCTTATATACTAAGTCCTGTGATCCTCCAAGCAGGGCTTTAAGGTCAAGATCGATTCCGCGCCAGTCTAGAAATACACCACTTCCAGGCTGCCCCAATTCCTCTTGAATAAGGAATAGACCCTGAAATCACCGCAGAATTCCTAGTACGAGGTATGTAAAGAGTGTTCGGTATATCGGAAAATCTGGCTTGCCAAACCATAAAGCGTAAACCCCAAACCCCGTGTGCAAAACTCCAAAACCCAAACCCCATACCCTCAAAATAGCTCCTGAAGTTCTGACCCTACAAAGAGGGCCAGGCTGCGACGCTGGGGCGGCAGAAGGCGGGCTGGCAAAAGGCGGGATACTCCATTTAAATTTGGCCGTTGGGAAGTGCCTATTGGCTTTTGATATGTTTTTTGGTGGATTTATGCAGGTTTTGCTGTGGTTCTTGTTAAGCTTTGAGCTTCAGGGTGGCCCGAGACGCGAATATCCCATAGTTGAAGACTACGAGGGGCTGTTATGATGTCTTCTTGGAGGATCATGGAGCTTAGCAACTAGGGCTATACGTGAGGTAACTATAGGTATAACCCCTTATAGCGCCAATTCGGGTACTTCTCACCTTACTTTCCTAAATCCCTTGAGCCCAAGTAAGCTATCCCTATAGACCCTAGACCCTAAAACTCATCCGAAAGACCCTAAACCCTCAACCCTAAACCCCTAGACTAAAAACCCTAAACCCCTCAACCCCTAAAGCCCTACACCCAAAGATGCTAAACCCTAAACCCCTAAAACCCTCTAAAGTGACCTCCAAAGTACTATCCCTATAAGCCCTAGACCCGAAATCCCTAAACCCTGAATGGACCCCGCATAAAACCCTTCACAGGGACCCCCAAAGCCCTCACTTACTAAGCCATGGGTACTACCCCAATACAGTAACAGTCTACAATGGGGCTACTAGTAAGGGCCTTATATATCTCTCCGGATACTCAGGGTGGACAAGCAACCACTGACAAACGTTTAGGAGTTGAGGGGTTTAGGAGTTTAGGGGTTTAGGGGTTTAGGGTTTAGGAGTTTAAGAATTTAGGTGTTTAGGGGTTTAGGGTTTTGTGGAGTTTGGCCCATAATAAAACCGACAAGGAGAAGAAACTCATAGTATCTAAGACCCTAAGCCTCGAAAGTCTTTAAATCATTGAAGAACCCTAAACCCTTCCTGAAAGAAAAAGATGGCGGGACCCAAAAAGGCCCTAAACCCTAGACCCTAAAACCCAAAAAGGCCTAAACCCCAAAACCCAAAAGGGCCCTCAACCCTAAAACCCCAAACCCAAAAAGGCCCTATAAACCCTAAATAAACCCTACAACCCAAAAAGGCCCTATAAACCCCAAAACCCAAAATGGCCCGAACCCTGGAAGCTCTCAGCTGACGCCTTTCATAGGCTGCTGATCGCGTATTGTTGGGAGGCGGAGGCCTCTGATAAAAGGGCTCAGGGTTTAGGGTCTAGGGGTCCATCCAGGGTCCCTTTAAGGTTCTGTATGGGTTTAGGGTTTAGGGTTACTTGGAGGAGGCCTCTGACAAACGGATCAGGGCCGGCTTTAGGCCTCCGGGGTTTACCGTTTTTAGTGCTTCAGGGTTTAGGGTTTAGGGTTTAGGGTTTAGGGGTTAGGGTTTTTAGGTTCTTTGGGGTCTTTAGGTTTCATAGGGGTTTGGGGATGGGTTTTTAGGGTCTTTAGGGTTCATAGGGGTTTTGGGATGAGTGGGGATCAAGGGTTTAGGTTAAGCGCTTGCGGCTGACGCGCTTATTCTACATTGAGGATCAGCGGGCTTCGTCAGCTTGCAAGCAGAGCCGTCTTGCTAGTTCCTAAACCCTAAACCCTAAACCCTAAACCCTAAACCGTTGGCACTATAATCCACTATATCATATTGTGCATATGATATTACAATAAAATATTGAATTTTGAGTAGAATCTTTCCCAGAGGCTCACAAGTACCTAACCCACATGGGGGATACTTACCCAGCCCAAACCGTAATAGTAATTTCTACTACAGAAACCCGACTTTCCTCTCAAAGCCTAGACCCCGAACCCGAAACTCTAAACCCTAAACCCTAAACCCTAGACCCTAAACCCTAAACCCTAAACCCTAAACCCTAAACCCTAAACCCTAAACCCTACACCCCAAACCCGAAACTCAGGCAAACTAAGGCCTCTCTGAAGCCGCGAAAGGCGCTGTGGCCGCAGGCCTGCCCCAACTTCTGACGTCATTGAAAGGGGTCAAGGCTTAAGGTTTAGGGTTTAGGGTTTAGGGTTTAGGGTTTAGGGTTTAGGGGTTAGGGTTTAGGGTTTAGGGTTCAGGGTTTAGGGTTTAGGGTTTAGGGTAGACAGGGTTTCGTGCTTACACAGTTCAGGCTTTACGGTTTGGGGTTCCTAAGCCCCAGGGATTTGGGCATGTTTCCGAAACTTACACACTATCAACGTCTATTAACCCTACACCTCTAAGCACCGTAAACCCACACCACCCAAACCCCTGAACCCCTAAACCTTAAACACCATTTAAAAAAAAAAACACCCTAAACCCTAAAACCCCCAAATCCTAACCCGAAGGGCCTGAATTTAGAGAACTCCGCACTTTCCAAAGCATCGTCGAGGAAGCTCGAGTCTCTCTAGCCGGCCAGGGTCCAGCACATTGGCAACAGGCGGAAGCGTTCAGGGCTTTGGGACTGGGGATTTAGGGGTTTAGGGATTAGGGCTTAGGGGTTTCAAGTTTATGGGTGCAGGCTAGAAGGGCTGGCAAGTGCAGCAACCATCAGCAACCAATGAAACCTCTTGATCATATGGGGGTTTCCGAAAATAGGGGACCCTAAAATCGTACCCTAAATAGTATGATCCCTATTCTACGGACCCCAAAATAAGGTACCCCCCAATTTTTGGAAACTCCCATATTCCGGGAGCCGCTAGTGCAGCTTCCTTGCCCTGCAGCTGGGCCTCCGTGACGGGTCTTCACAGGCTCGACGGCCACATTCCCAGGGATTGATTTGATTTAGGGTTTAGGGTTTAGGGTTTAGGGTTTAGGGTTTAGGGTTTAGGGTTCAGGTTTAGGGTTTAAGTTTAGGGTTTAGGGTTTACGGTTTAGGGTTTAGGGTTGTAAATGAGGGCAGCGCACGCTCTGAAGATGCCGGCAGGTCCACCACATCAGCCATGAGCAGAAAGGCCCGGCTGGCCTGGAAACGGTGCCCTCTGGACATGGGTTTGGGACGACCGGCTTTGGAGGGTGTAGGGCTGAGGGCGTAGGAATGATTTCTTGGATAGCGCTCCTCCGGCTAAGCTTTGTGATCTCATCTCAGACATGAACCTGAAGATCATGGCGACCCTGCATCATCAGTATCATCCTCAGCAGCTGTTCATCGCAGTCATCGTCACCTCTCTGAGAGTATGGCATTGTTTGAAGAGTGAGTGCGCAAAAAGTAGTTTTCCTTGACCACAGTTTCGGTATGTGGACAAGCCTCGGCAACTGAAGCGGTGGCCATTCTCGAGGTTGCTCAGTCCCGATAACTACATGCAAATTTCAGTCAATAACAGACCCCACTACAACATCTACATCTACAACCCTCAACGTAAGGAGGTGACGCTCATGCTCTCTACAGGCAGTCACAGCACCCCCCGGCCTGCGTAAGCTGTGAAGATGGCTGGGTTTATGCCACAGAGCATCCCAAACAACAAAGACCAGCCATTGGCTGCTACCGCATCGACTCCACCCTAAACCCTAACCCCTAAACCCTAAAGCTGTTAAAACCCTGAGCCCGAGCCCTCAAAGTCTTAATGACTAATGACGCAACCATACCAAACCTCCAGTCCCACAGCCCCCCAAGTACAGAGCAGTAACTAACTCCGAAAAGCCGCTCGAACCCCAAACTCGAATTCCCCTAAACCCTTAACCCTAAACCCTATAAGCTCTAAACCCTAAACCCTAAACCCTGAATCCCTGGATTCCTGAATCCCTGAAACTCCGGAACAAAACCCGCTAAACGCGGGCTCAAAGCCTCCCAGCAGGCGGTGCCGTAGCTACGGGCCGGGTCCTTAGATACGGCTTAGGGCCTAGGGTTTACGGTTTGAGGTTTAGGGTTTAGGGTTTCGGGGCTTAGGGTTTAGGGCTTAGTTAGGGTTTAGGGGCTTAGGGTTGATGGTTTTGGCATGTTCGATCGGGTGAGGCCTTGAATACTGTTTAGGGACTTAAGGCTAGTTTTGCACATGTTTTGCTCTCCACAACAGACCTAACCTTCAATGTAGAAGCCTGAAGAACTAGCAATACTATTCCTCTGGAATCTAGCTTCCTCTAATTACAGTTACCAAGAGGGTCCATATATACGACCATTATGGAATTCGGTCCCCCAATACCATAAAAAGGAAGGACTTTCGGGGGGCCAAATTCCATACTGGTAGTGCATATGGACCCTCTGAGTTATGGTTACACTACGATATACCCAGAAACCCCCACCCCCCATACTCATTTAGGACTACCCAAAGTGTCCTCAGTACCTACATAGTAGAAAGTTAAGTTTCTATAGTAGGAATTACTTAGTGGATGATGGGACTGGATAGCAAGGGCTACAAGTCAGGTAACTATAGTTATAAATAAATATAACCCCAGTTAGGGTACTTAAAGCCTTACTTACTAAGTCCCATGATCCTCCAAGTACCCTTAAACCATTAAACCCACATAGAACCCTTCAAAGGGACCCTTATTGGAACCCTTATAAAACCTCTAAACCCCTAAACTCTAAACCCTAAACCTAAAGACCCTAAACCCTAAACCCTAAACCCCTAAACCCTAAACCCATTCAAGCCTGTAATCCCTAAACTCTGAAACTGATTTTTCACCCTAAAGCCAAAACCCTATAAGCCCTAAGCCCTAATCCTATAAGCCCTAAAGCTTGAACCCTTAACCCTATAGAGCCTAAAGCCTAAACCCCAAACCCTAAACGTATAGACCCTAAGGCCTAAGCCCTATAAGCCCTAAACCCGAAACCTATAAACCTCACAGTGGGACCCCAAAGCCCGAATCCTCAGCCGAAGCCCAAGACTTCTCGGACGCTCCGGAACCCTAGACCTTCAGGGTCTTTAGGTTTAGGGCTTTGGGTTTGGGGTGCAGGGTTTAGGGGTTTCGGGATTGGGGCATATGGCTTATGGCTGAGAGTTGGATGATGAACAGGTTCAGGAGTACAGAGTTTAGGGTCTAGTGGTTTAGGGTTTAGGGGTTTAGGCTTTAGGGTCTTAGGTGCAAGGTTTAGAGTTTAGGGGTTTAGGTTTATAGGGCTGAAATTTACTCGAGGATCATGGGCCTAAGCCTTAGCAGCTAGTAGATAAACAAGGTAACTGTAGTTATGACCACTGCCAACCACAATCGAGGTACTTGAAAACCTACTTACTGAGTCCCATAAAACCATGTAGGGGCTTCAATCCTAAATCCTAACCCTAAACCCCCAAACCCCATAAACCCTAAACTGTAAACCCCTCAGCCTCAACCCTAAACCCTAAACCCTCAACCCTCAACCCTAAACCCTAAACCCTCAAACCTAAACCCTAAACCCTCAACCCTAAACCCCTAAACCCCATAAACCCTCAACTCTAAACCCTAAACCAACAAACCCTAAACCGAAAGAACGGGCCTGCACGATCTAAACTTGCTTCATCTCGGCCCATGCGACTGCTGTCCTAAGCACCCTTACCGTCAAGGCCTAGAAGGACGGTTTAGGGTTTTGGTCAGGGTCTGGGCTCTTAGGGTTTACGATGCGCTACACAGATTCCTACACAACCCTGGGAAACCCTTTAAAGACCCTCACAAACCAAATGCTTTCCCATAAAGAAAAACTGCGAAGCTGCAAGCCCCTAATCCTGGAAATAAGCTTATAGCACCCTTGCAGCTGTAAGCTCCTTAAGCCCATCTTAAGATATAATACGGCATGATGTTCAACAATCCCTAGAAAGTTTGTACGAAAACATGGGAAATAATTCCCAAAGAGCTCCCAGAAAGCAGGCCCTGAAGGAAGCCTTGAAACATTAGGGCCCCCAAAAAACACATATGCCAAAACATCGGATAGGGTTCTCCCATAGGAATCCCCTTATACTGAAGCCCAATAAGGTGGGGATACTGTTGATGGACAAAATTCTGCATGACCCAAATATAGTATAGTACCATATATCCCATAGTTTAGGTATATAAGGTCATGCAGGATTTTGTCCATCAACCGTATCCCTATAACATGCTGATGCTTATGTCCTTTTTGGGTTCCTAATTGACACATCTAAACCCTAAACCCTAAACCCTAAACTGCCTTAACGGAAGCCCTGAAACATCTGTCATCCGAGGTGCTTGTCCAGAAGCTTGGACTCAACGGCGACAAGCTCCGGGGTCGTTTCCGGCCTTCACTGCAACAGGACGCCTCCCTACGGGCTCACCATAAGGGGTTTCGGGCTTAGGGTCTATAGTATCTATAGGGTTTAGTGTATTTAAGAGTGAATTTAAGGGCTCTGCTGTGGAATACAATATGGGTTACTATGAGGGCACCGCAAGGGTTGCTGTTATGGATTTGGGGATCAAAAATACGGTACCTTTAAGGGTTTAGGTTTTAGCTTGTAGGGCTTAAGAGTTCTATGTGGGTTTCATTCTTGTCGTCTCTTGCCTTGACTGAAACAGCTGTTACAAAGGTCTCATGGGCTTTCATAGATTTTCTGGGGTCTGAGAAGCCTTTCGGCAACTTCAGGACAGTCTTAGGTCTTGGCACAGTAATTCACAGCGTTACATGTGGTAACCAGATGGCATACGGTCGCTTTAAACGGTCGTTACAAGGTTTCTTCTTGTTGCATGGGTCTTCCGGTGGATTCGGGGATGTTGATGTGTAGTCTAGGGGCTGCAACCGATGACACAAGGCTTCCTTTAAGGTTTGTATAAGATGTGGGGGATACTTACCCAAACATAATAGAAGACTATGTAGGCAACCTTGAATGCCTGACACCAGGCTTCTTGAGCCCTCCGTCCCCGCGTCCATGCGCCTCTTCCCGTCCAACTTCTGATCGCTGCAAAGCTGCAGGTTCGCCGGCCTGGAAGGTTTGGGATTTCGGGCTTGTTGGTGATACGGTCTTGGCATTTTTAGGGTTGGGGTTTAAGGGTTTTAGTTTAAGGTTTATGGTTTAGGGTTTAAGCGAGGTGTAAGGGTTCCTCTCAAGGATCTACAAGTCTACAAGGGTTCCTTTAAGGGATCTATAGGGGTTCCTTTCAGGGATCTACAAGGGTACATGAGGGTTTGGGCGCTCATTCTGACTGGAATGAAAACACACATCTTAAGAACGACCCAGAGCTAGAAGCACCTGTTTTCCGGAGTAAATACGGTCCAACTGCCCAAAGTACCTTGGTTCAAGGCCTCCTGCTCGGGTACTTGGAACCCACTGGGTAGGGGTTTAGGGTTTAGGGTTTAGGGTTTAGGGTTCAGGGTTTAGGGTTTAGGGTTTAGGGTTTAGGGTTTAGGGTTTAGGGTTTAGGGTTTAGGGTTTAGGTTGAAGCATCTGGGGTGTAGACAGAACTGTCGTAAGAGTCGGCCCGTCGGGCGAGTATATCGAAATCATCCAGCTCCCCATCAGACCTTGTACGAATCGTCCGAACTGCCAGAAATGGCCGAAATTGGCTTTAAGCTTGGGAAGAAGCCCTTCATATCATCCCATAAAGTGGGAACACGTTCTTCCCACTCGATCACTTTGCTTGTGTTTGGGCACTAAAAAGCAGAAAACTAGGGTCCCTTTCAGCGTCCTTTTCATAAGGGTGCCGCACTAATTTGGTGACCTAATTAAAAAGGCACCCTAATTTAGAGAACTACCCAAGATAAGGGCCTTAATTCTAAGAACAGGTTCCAACAAAGGCTTCCAAAAAGGGTTCTGGAAGGGTTCAGGGTGCAGGGGTCTTATGGCTAGCGTCGGGTTTTTGGGCATTTTGCCCTAAACCCTAAACCCTAAACCCTAAACCCTAAACCCTAAACCCTAGTATAATGCTGGGGAAACCTATTGGAACCATGGGAATAATTATTCAGGGCCAGGGCCCTTTTCCAAACCCCAAAACTCCGAACACGTAACCCCCTAAACCGCTATAAAAACAATAAGAACAAGACTCTCAAACCGAAGCCCTAAACCCTAAAGCCCCTCAGATCCAGCAAAAGTGCCTGATGTTTTTCGTCACACCAGAATCCAGGAGGACCTGTTGGGATCGTGGTCTTGTGAAAGGCTTTGGGCTTTAGCGTCGAGGATTTAGACCCTGGTGTTCTGAAGGTTTAGGGCTGCAGGGGTTAAGGTGTAGGGTTTAGGGATGGTTCTGACCTGGAGAGGCTGAACGACTCTTGTTTTCCTAACCGAGCGATACACCGTAATGACACCAGTAAAGTACTAGGCTTCCGAAACTGACTCAGCACCGGTGTACCTAAACCCGAGAACCTACAGCCATGTCCTATTTGGGCGTTTAGGCTTTTAGGGTGACCCGCAAGCAGCAAACACCAAACCCGAAGTACATCTAGATCATGTCGCCACATTTCACCATGCTGACAGGCAACGAAGGGCGTCATGATGAGACGAGGGTTATAATTTAGTGCTACCAGACAAGCTCGTAATGCAAACGACCAAATCCCAAAGCCGAGACTCCTAACGCCTCGACTCAGGGTTTAGGGTTTTGGGTTTTCTGAACTGAAAGGCCGACATGCCATGTGCGAAGCCTCTCTCGCAGAACCGCCCTTTATCGGCCAAGCTATGTACTGCAGGGACCTTTATAATTAGAATAGGGTTTTGGGGCCGACTATACTGTAATTATATTTTTAATACGGAACCTATCAGTAATTATTTAGGCCCCTACATTAGGTGTATGCATCCGCCAATGTAGCCACCGTCACCATGACGACAAAAAACTTCGTAGTGCTGCAGATCACGTGGAGCATTCGAATACAATCTCCACAAACACGGATGCAACAGAAATACAGGTAGAAATCAGCAGTGTTGAGTGCTGACGGACAGAAAAACATCCAAGCCCTACCGACCCTGCCAGAACATGAAAGGTACTACGGTAAACACCTATCCCTAAACCCTAAACCCTAAACCGTGCTATTACTTTGTATCTTCTCTGTGCCAACCTGCCATCGCTCGCTGTTGGCTTCCCAAGCCTTCAGGCGATTCATCCGGACTCGAGCTGTACCAGAGAATAAGAACCTTACGACAACAACCTACTTTAGACTAGCAAAGTGCATGTCATTTGTAGGGCCCCATACCCAGACACACAGGAGTTCAAGTTGGAGTTCCAAGTTCGGACGTTAAGTTAGCCGTTAAGCTTGAGAGCCCGGTGATAGAGCTGACTGCAGCCTACAAGCAGCTCTGATGATTAACGCGCCTCTTCTGCAAGCTCGTTAGAGACTTATAACCCAAACACTAAACACTATACCCTAAACCCAAAAAATGTAAACCTCAAACCGCTTTGTGTCAAAGCTTCGCATACCGGCATGGGCAAGGAGCTTATGAGGACACAGAGGGTCCTAAGTACTACGTATTCCCTGAGGGTCCATCTTCATATAGTAGAAACTTAGCCTCATCAAGTACCTTTATGGGACCACTTAAGGCCAAGGTACATACTATATGAGCACCTGGACCCTCACGGATTACCGAAATTAGTAGCAACTCCTGCTATAGAAATCCTACTGTCCACTATGCACGTACTTGGGCCCCTTGAGGGAAGATGGAAGACGTCTGGCGCTCACTGCTTGTCTGACATGTGAGGGCTTCAAACGTGCCCAATAAGCTGCAAATGTGGATTCTAGACTTGGTTGCCTTTCAAAGACACAAACGGGCGTAACATAAGCAAGCCGTTTTAAAGGGTCTCATGTAACCACCAAAACAATAAAAAAAACCCATAATCTTAACAACTAAGTCACTAAACAAATCCGACAAGCCCGACACCTTAAATCAACAGGTCGGGGGAACCTCCATACTCTCGGGTGTCGGGATATGGGTCGTTTAGGGGTTTAGCGGTTTGGGAGTTTAGGGGTTTCGGGGTCTAGTGGCTTTGGGGTTTAGGGAGGGTAGGGGCGAGACCGCTGAACATCCCAATCCACCAACCCCTACTGCGGCGTGCAAATTCCGGCGTCGTGGCTCTTCCACAGCTTGTGGTAAAATGTCAAACCCTAAACCCTAAACCCTCAGCCGTAGGCCCTAAAACCTAAACCACAAACCCTAAACCCTCAGCCCTAGACCCCAAACCCTCGACCACAAACCCTAAACCCTAAGCCAAGTAGTCCGAGTCCCTGAATGCTGAAACACCAATGATGTAAGGTTTAGGGTTTATAGGGTTTAGGGCCTAAGGAGGCTGAGGGTTTAGGGAACAGACCAGACCCTATGCCCCAAGCCCCCCCCCCCCAAAAAAAAGTACTTAACCCATGAACCCTACGGTTGATGATATAAACCCTGCATTACCTTGAGGATCCTAAACTATGGGATGCATCGTATTTTCTTATTATGGGTAGTTTAGGGTTCATATCATCAACCGGAGGACCCAATTCACGCCTGCACGATGCCAAGTTGGCCGTTCAATTCCGGGTTTGACCTGACGCCTGGAGCAGCAAGTCAGGACTTAGGCTTTCGGATTGGCATAAGGATTTAGGGTTTAGGGTTTAGGGTTTAGGGTTTAGGGTTTCGGATTGGCATAAGGATTTCAGGCTCAACGTCTCTTGAAGGTTTTGGCCGAAACCCTAAACCCGAAACCCTAAACCCGAAACCATAAACCCTTAAACCCTAAACCCGAAACCCTAAACCCGACACACTAAACCCTAAAGGGTAGCCCTCGAGCTCTGAAAGACTCGGGTTCGCGGTTTCGGGTGTCTCTGAACCGGTGTACCATTTAAGGTGTGGGACGTAGGGTTTAGGGTTTAGGATTTAGGATTTAGGTTTAGCATTTAGGGCTTAGGGTTCTAATGGATTTCCTGTTCAAGCCACCTGTTCATGTCCAAGCTCATCCGTACTGCAGGACTGCGTATCTGCATGAGACAAAAGATTTCGTCGAGTCTCTCTTCCTTTTTCTGATCCTGTCGCACATGGATTGTCCATCGTCCTCAGGATCGCAGTTCGCGAGTTCCTGAAGAGATGCACTCCGGCGTGTGCGGCACCAAGCAGAGAAGTCGTGGCGCAGTCACTCGGCGTGCGGATGTAGCCCGAGCTCACTCCCGACATCTCACAGTAGCCGACAGCTGCGTTGAGGGGTTTCTTGACTATGACCTCCTCAGACTGAACACTCCTGCAGAAGTAACATAGCTTGCCCTTCGTGAGAGCCCTACTAGTAGTTGCCACTGTAGTTCTTTATTAACTTACTTGAATATTAAAGGATTGTTACCAGGAAAGGGAACTACAACGGAGAGTACAGGCAAACCGCCTTTTTGAAGGGAAATGAAAATCGGATCCCTACTCGAGTTCTTGCATTGGGGAAGGGGCTTTTACTTCGAGAGTAAACCTTATAGGGTTTAGGGCGTAGGGCCGTGACGGTTTAGGGGTTAAGGGTTAAGGGCTTTCAGGGTTCAGGGTTTAGACACAAAACTTAAAAGTGAACCTTCTCGCGAACGACCGGCCCTCGGGCAACGTCTTGTGGTGTCTGCATTGAGTGTTTTCCTCAGAAGAGATATTCAAGTCTCTATGGCTTGTGGATAACTCCCTTGACCCTGAACCCTAAACCCTAAACCCCTAAATCCTGAACCCTAACCCAAAACCCTAAACCCAACGCCCTGGCCCAAAACCCACAGCCCCCTAAGCCCAATGACCTGACGCAGATGAGTCTTTGTAAGGGTGTTTGTATAAGACTTATATAGGTTTTCACTGGCTTCTACAAATAAGAACTGTATGAAACATAATTACAACCAAAAGGATCGTAGCTTGAGAACTACATGGCTTTTCGGTGCTGGGACCCAAGAAAGCACATAAGCAAAACATAGGATAGGGATATCCCATATAAACCCCCTTATAATGAAGCCCAATAAGGTCGGGATATCCCTATAAAAATGCTTATGCTTATGTCCTTTTTGGGTCCCTACTTTAGACCCAGGGTTAGATGAGGTTTAAGCACACCCTCAAACCGACACCTGTGCGCGCCTGTTAGCCGCACGCGCGCTCCGACGGCAATGCCTTGCCTTGCAGGAACTCACGTGAGGTATTGGATACTGACCCCTTTAAAATGGATATATACAAGGCCCTTAACACTAGCCCTACACTAGACTGTCATTGTATGAGGGCAGTACCCATAAATTATGTATGTACTGCTGACGGTGTAGCCCCCTAAACCCTAAACCCTAAACCCTAAACCTTAAACCCTAAACCCTAAACCCTAAAACCTAAACCCTAAACCCATAACCCTAAACCCTAAAGCCTAAACCCTAAACCCTAAACCGGAGGGTCCACTTGATGGATCGGGGGACTTCAGTCCGCGAGGCTGTTGTAAGTACCCTAATTGGGGATTGCAGGTACGGTTTAGGGTTAGGGTTTAGGGTTTAGGGTTTAGGGTTTAGGGTTTAGGGTTTAGGGTGCATCTATAATTACACTATTTTCACCCCTTGTTACTAGGTCCCATGATGCTCCCTCCAAGCATGTACCTCGTAGCACACCCTGTCTGAACCCAACTCAACGAAGTCCAAAGCCCAGAGCTCGGTGCCTAGAACTTCTTTTAGGGACCTTAATAATTAGAATAGTTTTTGGCCCATCATATTATAAATTTAGTAAGGAGCCCCCAAGATAGTATTGGTAATTATTTAGGCCCCCATATTATTGCCTCTCTGGCTTAGGGTTCAGAGTTTGGGATCTAGTTTTGACTCCCCAAACCTGGCCAAAAACCTAGTAGGGAGCTTTGCACATTCGCGCAAAACACCTTTAGCTCTAATCGAGGTCCAAGCCCCAGACCGTATATGTCAAGGGCACACCTTAACGAACGTCCAACCCTAGTAAGCCCCAACACTGTAAACGAATTACGAACCGTAAACCATGAGCCCCTTAACCCTAAACCCTAAACCCTAAACTCTAAGCCCCAAACTCATTGCCAAAATATCCTGATACCGAGAAGGTCGGCGCTCGGGCTCGAATTGACACTGTGCACCTTCAACCCAGACCTCTAGGCTAGATCCCAAAAGTAGATGCTTGAAGGGGGTCCTATAAAGTTCCTTTCAATCCGAAAGAGTCCCAAACTAGCAGGACCCAGATCGTCAAAGTTATACCCACATTAAGGAAATACTCCTTGATTCAGATTCGGGTTTAGGATTTAGGGTTAGAGGCTAGTTAGAGGATTCAGGATCCTACGCATGGAAACACTCATACATGAAGATGCAGTCTTCGGCTTCACCTGCGCGGGCTGCGAGGTGCAGCGATGACGCGCAGAGACGACGTTGACGTCCCGGCCGACATGGGCAGCGACCAGAAACCGCTCTTGCCGCCGCATTTGTCCTTGCTGCCAATGGGGCCGAACGGAGGGTGCTGCAGCGGCAGCAGCACAAAGAACTGGCGGTGGCTGCTGCACGTCTTAATGGAAGATCTGGCGGAGCCTGCTAAGGGTTTATAGGGTTTAGTGCTTAGGGTTTAGTTTTGGGTATGCATCGACATATCAAGAACGGATGGAAAGACTAATGCTTCAGATTTTGAGGCCGGGCACCCGCACAGTGGCACCCACATCTCTGACCCGGTGACGTACGAGAATATTACCCCCAAAGCCCTATCTCAATTATTCCGGCCCCTAAACCCTAAACCCTAAACCCTAAACCCTACATGAAGGGCTTCGGGGCAGAGATTCGGGACTTCAATTTCAAGGCTCAGTGCTCAGAACTGAAGGCTCTTCGCTTGAGAGTTGAGGCCTTCCATGTTCAGGGTTAATGTAGGGTTTAGGGTTTAGGGTTTAGGGTTTAGGGTTTAGGGGCCCCATTATACTATAATTATAATGAGGCCCAAAATAATATAGGCAATTCTTAAGGCCCCCATATTAGGGCCTTTGGTTTATGGGATTTAGGGTTGGGGCTCTAGGGATCAGGATTTAGAGTTTAGGGCTTGGGGTTTAGGCTTTAGGGTTTAGGGTTTAGGGATTCGGATATAGAGTTTAGGGCTTACAGGATTTAAGGTTCAGGGTTGCCAATATCCCTTGATTAAGAAATCTACTTGAAATCGTATTAGGACTCCTGCTAGAACTTAAGGCTTCTGAAGTAAGGGATATGGGATCTTTGTACCGGCTTGGTGCCGCACCCTTCGGTATCGTCCGAACCAATGGGCATCCTGCTCAATGGTTTTAGGTTTGGGGTTTAGGGGTTTAGGGTTTGGCGGACTGCAGAAACCCTTCAAATCCTTCCCGCTGCCAAGGTGTAGAGTCCGTTCGCTTGTTCGAGACTAGGTTGCAGTGACAGGGAGGACAAGGGGGGCGGGAGGAGATCAAGCATTTCCTCAAGCTACCCGAACTTTCCCTGCCTCGACATCCCAACAAACCCACGAAAATAGAAACAACATGCAGCATGGGACTTCGTAAGTAGGTCGTATCTACAGCTTTCAAGCACCCGAATTAGGGTTGTCCTACTTCTGCCCCTCATTATCGCATGATTCCGGAGTCCGGGGGGTCCATTGACATAGGTTCCCAGGAATGGAATGGAGAATCTTTAACATTATACTATAGGAATCAGAATACCCAAGAGGTTAAAGGTTGCCGGCTCTACTGTTAAGGTGTCAGTAGCAAGCCAACAAATCTAAATATAGAGTATAGCGTGACAAATATCAAACTCGCTCGACGAGGCGGCTTGGGCCTGGGGATCAGAATCCGGGCTTCTGTGCTGGATTCATTCCCCTGTGAACAACCCTAAATCCTCAACCACTAAACCTTAAACCCAAAACCCAAGCGTCTCTTAACGACAAGGAGATACATACACAGGATAGCCCGCAGTCTACCTGCTAACAGCATGAAGTCCAGAGACCCCGAAAATTCGATGTCATTATAGCTAACCGCACAATAAAAGTTACTGTCAATGTTGCTACTACAGCTCTCATTTCTGAATATCAGCGCATGATGAAGGGAACTTTTGTTCTCTAAATTAGCATGACTAGATCCCCTTTTGATTTTGGAATCCTCTTTATAAGGGTGCCGTACTACATTGAGGTTTGGAATGAACCCGAATTTAGAGAACTACCCATGGAAAACCCGAAACGGGAGCTCTTACAAAAGGAATCGAACAAGGGCACGAAAACTCTGCTGTCGGCTACAGTATACAGCTTGTAATAGGGTTTGGGGTGTGGTACAGTATTCTATAACTACAGTCACATAAAGCGCCCTAAGGACTTCAGACTTCAGCTTCCATAACCGACCCTAAACCCTAAACCCTAAACCCTAAACCCTAAACCCTAAACCCTAAACCCTAAACCCTAAACCCAAGCCCTAAAACCCGAAAGCCTTCCTAAACCCATAATATGGTACCCTTCAGAGGAACCCTAAACCCCTGGCAACTAAGCCCTAAGCCCTAAACCCATATTGTACCCTGGGAACCCTAAAGTACCCTAGAACCTAAACCCGCCAACGACACCTAAACCCGCCAACGACGCCTAAACCCTAAACCCTAAACTCTAGACCCTAAAACCCCAAAAACGACGGCCAAGGGGCAACTTCGCCGCACGGAGAAGCTTGCCCTGCCCATCATCAAGCCGGACCTGGATTTCTGTAAAAAGGGTTTAGGGCTTAGGGCATAGGGTTCAGGGTTTAGGGTTTCGGGTTTAGGGTTCGGACATGGATTTCTATAAACGGGTCCAAGGTACAAAACGGTTTAGGGTTTAGGGTTTAGGGTACAAAACCCTAGACCCTTCCTTCACCCTCGGGTATAAAGGGTACTACGAGGCGGATCGGCGGAGCCTCGAATTTAGGCGGTGGGTGTAGGGTTTAGGGTCTACTTGGAGGATCAGGGGACTTAGTAGGTAAGGATATAAGCGCCCTAATTGGGGCTATAAGTATAACTATAGTTGCCGTATTTATAACCCTAGTTACTAAGTCCCATGATCCTCCAAGAAGGGTTTAGGTTTTGGATGCGGGATTGAAAGGCTTGCCATACGGTTGATGATACAAGTCCTGCATTACCCGTAATAAGGAACACACCAAAATTCCCATAGTTTAGGGTCCTTTGAGGTAATGCAGGATTTATATAATCAGCAGTAGGTACTTACCTTTTTAGGGACATGGGTTTAGTGTTTCGGGCTGAGGATTTAAGGTTTTTTCTCGAACAGGTCCTATTTACCTACCTATAAGGGTTCCTTTATTTATCAACAAATGGTTCCTGTAATAAGGGTTCCAATATCGGGACATGGGTTTAGGGTTTAGGGTTTGCGGCTAAGAGTTTAGGGCTTAGGGTTTATGTTCTAAGTACGTACCTATATAGGGATATGGAAAAGGTTTCCTTCAAGGGTTCTGTAACAGGGTGCCTTCTCAATAAGGTTCCTTCAGTTGTTCTATAATATGGTTCGGCGATGAGCTTCTGGAACGGCTTGTAGGATGACAGAGATGCCTTCCTTGGATTTTTCGCCCTGTCATTGACTGCACATTGGGAATGGAGCCAGCCCTCATCCGCAGGTACTGCTTGCCATCTGGTCCCTCCAGGAAAGGCATTCCGGAATGGTCACTGGCGCTTCGAAGCCGTACTTCAGCGGCCTCCACCGGGCTTTGATGCTGCTGTGAAGCCTCTTCCTCTTAAGTTTACCCGAGGAAAAAAACGCGCCCGACTGTTTTTGGTTTCTTTAAGCCCCTTTTCAGACCCTCGGTCAGCTCCTTTCCATCCATGGAAGGCTTGCTTGACGGGTTGTCGAAAACTCCTAAACCCTAACTCCTAAACCCTATGCCCCATTAGTGGCTGACCTACCTGAGCTGCACAAACACAAGACCCTACATCCTAAACCCTAAACCCTTGGGTTCAGGGCCTAGGGTTTTCAATAGGGCTTAAGGCTTTGCACGGTTGGCGCTTAGGGATTAGTGTTTAGATGTGTTTAAGGATTCGTGTTTAGGGATTCGGGTCTAGGATTTTGAGGGCTTAGGGTTTAGGGTTTAACGTAAACTGGTGATCATACTGAAGGCCTCGTGACAGGGGTCGTTAGGTTATAATGAGAATTCTCATAAAACCCGGCTTCTTGGAGTCTCCGGGCTATGGGGTTGAGGGTTGAGGGTTGAGGGTTTAGGGTTTAGGGTTTAGGGTTTAGGGTTTAGGGTTTAGGGTTTAAGGGTTTAGGGTTTAGGGTTTAGGGTTTAGGGTTAAATTACACCTCCCGCAAACCCTAATATAAACGTTAAAGCCCTAAGCTCTGCAAACCTTACGGACCCCCAAAGCCCCTGATCCCGAAAAGCCCGCACTCCAAACCTAGACGACGAAATCCGAAGCCTTTCGATACTTCAGAATCCTATGCCCAAACCCAAAGCTCTTTCAATGAAGTCCTAATCCCAAAAGCCGGCAAAAACCCTCCAAACGCCTAAACACGCTTAGACTCCCAAGCCCCAAACCCCAAGCCCGAAAAAGTTAACTCTAAACCCTGGATCCCAAAAGGCGCGCCTGCCATCGCTCCTCCATGCGATCCCAGGCCTTTGGCTTTGAAGGCTTCGGGTGCCAAGCTCCATGGTTCGGAGGTTTAGACTGTAGGGCTTCAGGGATGTAGGCGTTTAAGGTTTAGGGCTTTAGGGCTTCCGGGGTTTAGGGATTCAGGGGTGTAGGGTGTAGGGTTTAGGGTTTAGGGCTTTCTGGTACTCACACACCTTCATTTGGGTAGTGTTAAAAATAGCGTGCCTTTTTAGGTCAATATAGTACGGCACCCGATAGGAAGGACCCTAAACGGGACCCTAATTTAGAGATTTACCCATTTGGTTACTTGGGCTCCTAGGACATTGCTTCGGGCCCTAATCCAAGCAACTACCTTAGACCCTAAAATTGAATCATTAGGCCCCAATGGCGGCTGAGGCTCCACCAGCGTGCCCGTCATCCCGTTGATCTCTTGGTTCACTTCTAAGCCTCGGTGGCGTGTCCATGAACTCCCTAATGCCAAGGTGTAAGAACCGTTGTATGCTTTGTTAAATGAAGTTTGTAAACTTTGATGTGGACTACTCAGGTTTCTGATAGGGTTTTAAGTTTTCCGGGGCTCCAAAGGGGCTTAGATTTATATAGGTTTCGACAGGGTCCTATAGGCTTTCCACACGGGTTTACACAAGCTTAATAACATGCCCGGTTTAGGGTTTAGGGTAGTCATCTGTAAAGAGCTTACTTTATGGCATCCCTGTCAACAGCTTATTAAGCGAGGGGTGTAGTGAATCCGGGGTCTGCCTTCCTAAGAGTTAAGGATCTGGGGTCTATGGTTGACGGGTTTGGTTTTACCTGGAGCCGTTAAGCGCCCACACCAAAGCCCCTGCGAAGTAGGCTCATCTAAGTTGGTTTTACACCCGTTTGCCTGGTCGGTATACACCTGAACATGCTCTCTCTAAGAACCCAACCATAAAATTGCGGGCCACAAAATTTAGTTCTGTCATTGGGCAGCATACGTTGCAGCGCTAAAAAGCTGAAACATCGACCAAGGATGATGTGTGCTGGGATTCTCTGCGCTGTGTATAGATGCAGATTTAGGGGCATGAGGGCAATGTTGTTCCAACATTCTGGCTTCCACTTTCAACGCGTTATTAGATGTTTTTAGGTTTTGTGCATCCGAACCCAAAGCTCTCCGAACTCTGAACCCTAAGCCCTCAAACCCGAAACCCCTAAACCCGACATGTAGGACCCCGGGAACTCGGTTGGAGCCTCCGGGAAAACGCCCGGAACCCCCAAACAGTAGCCAACTCAACCCACGAGCTCCCCAGTAGCCTCTTAGTAAAACAGGGTACCCTTTTTCCGAGTATTCGGGTCGCAAAATCGGGAGACCCCACAATGAACCGGGCAACAGGGTACTACTGGGGAACCCACTTGGAGGATCATGGCACCTAGTAATTAGGGTCACAAACAGGGTAACTAGAGGTATAATTACTTATGACGCCATTAGAGGTTGCTTACGGGAGACCCCTGAACCCAAACCCTTTCAGTCCTACAACCTAACCCTCAAACAACAGCTTCGTCAACTTTAGGGTTTAGGCTTTAGGGACAAAAGCGTCGTTTAAAGCCTCTTTGGAACTCTTAGAAGACCTTAAGAAGCCCCCGAAACAACCCAAACTACAAGAGAACCTTCGAAAGCCTTTGCGAAACCCTACACAACCAGGCCCTAAACCCTAAACCCTAAACCCTAAACCCTAAAGGGTTTAGGATTTAGGGAACCCTTAGACTTAACCCCAACCCCGAAAATTAAACCTCCAATCTCACGACCCTAGCACCCCTTAACCTTGACCATAGAACTCCCAAACCCCTAAACTCCAAAATTTCGAAAACTAAACCCATCAACACCCTTAAAAACCCACCCAGAAGCGCCCAAAACCCTTACTAAACCCTAATACTAAACTCCTGAACTCCCTAAAGTCCGCAACCCCGCAGGCCCTAAGCCTAAACCCTAAATCCTAAACCCTTAACCCTGAAACCCTGAAACCCTAAATCCCCTAAACCCTAAATCCTAAACCCTAAACGCTAAATCCCCTAAACCCTAAACCCCCTAAACCCTAAACCCTAAATCCCCTAAAGAGACGCAACCGAGCGGCCCTGTACACGGACGCGGCCTCCTGGGTGGAGCCCGGGCCTCGGCCTGATCTTCGGAGAGGTTTGAGGTTTGAGGGTTGAGGGTTTTGGGTT